CCCAACAAAGATAGGCGAACTGTGAGTAGTCTCCTCCGAAAATTTCTTCTCCTCCTTATCACATATGACCCACCAATACAACACTGACAAAGTGGATAATTACAAGGATGTTAATAAAGCGTCAACGTTTAACCAGACAATCAAAAGCAGGAATGATTGAAGTGATGGCTTTTCATAAGGTCGACCTTGATGCTAGAAAAAGCAATAGGAAAGACTTTGTGATAAAGCAATAGGATGAAGGATGAATAGGAGGAGAAGATAAAGCGATAGCAATAGGAAAGACTTTGTGATAAATAAAGACAGAATAAAGGTAGTGTTGAACACGATCAAAACCAAATGACAGAGCAAAACACGCCATACACAGCTATGGAAGAACATTGTAGGAATCTCGACGAACTTATAAGATGACTAGAATTACACTATGAGCAATTTCTAGATAGCAAGCTTTTGTCTGATGTGAGATAACCATCCAGTAATGTTGTGAGAAGTTCTTCAATGGTTTGAAATTCTTTCAGTTGTAGGAGTTGGACGAAGTTAGTGTTTCTGGTAACCTAATAACTCACAGAAACTAGAATCCTGTCTAGCTCTTACTACCCATCCATAATTCATAGAATATAATGGTGAACGTATATAAAAACGCATCGAGGTAGATGTATAGCTTTTAAATCGGCCATTGAAAAATCAGTAAAGAAAGTCAGAAAATCAGAAAAGTCAGTAATACTCACTCCTCGGTTGATCCCTGCGTCGTCCCAGTAGTGGTAGCTTTTGAACCACCTCTTTTCTTTCCCTTTGCTGTGGTAAGTTTATCGTGTTTTGAACTAGTTGCTGGTGTAGGAGCAGTGCTCGGATTTAAAGGCGTTTTCTTCAGTGCATTTAGGTGATCTGCTGGTGGATGCGGTGGAGGGGGTGGTGGTGGTGGTGGTGGTGGTGGTGGTGGTGGTGGTGCTGGTGGAGGTGGGGCTTCATTGGGTAGTTCTCCCATCATTTCATACTCGTCACCCATTTCTAAACCCGATATGTCTCGAAGTAAGCATGAAAATAAACCACACCGTTTGCGGAAACAACACGGCACTATTTCTTTGATAAGGGTTGAAGGATAAAGCGTTGGGTATGACAAATTCTTGATGGATGCGTTATGCATTAGGCTTCATCAAGCACCGTAAGAGGATATTGATTACATATTTGGTCTACAAAATGACTTTCGGTGACCTGCCACTCTATCTAGTAATGTAGAGCACCCCTAACCATTACTTTTATACGCGGCCCATTTCATTGATAACGTCACGAATTCTCTCGCATTTGGATAGGCGTCTGTTTAAGGCAAGTTAAACGTTGCTGGTTATTAGTAGGTTACTTACAATAACATGGCCACTTCATCTGCAGCCAGCGCCAGTTCCTCTCTTCTTTTAAGGTGAAGCTGAGCGAGGGTGACTAGTTAGAGGCTCACCTACGCTTTTTGCCCATCATTTGTGCTTTTGCCAAAGCATGGAAGAGCGAGGTTATGATTCATTTCAGTTCTTCTTAATATGGTCTCTAATGGTCTCTCTGAACCGTTCATCATCTGTGTGCCTGTACGTGTACATTGCATTATATATATATATATATATATATATATATGTATATATCCTCCAAACGGTTTACCACCTCATCGTGGCTGGGAGGTTGTTCCTGGGTGTCGGGCAGCGATGTACAACGGGGCGATTCATCCCTCCAGCAGAGCCATCCGGGCTGAGTGTTTCCATCAGGAAGTCTAGCTAAGAGTAAATCAACACCAGAATTCGCCACCATACTGGCATCAAATTAGTCGGGTGGTTGCAAAACTCCCTCTGATCCACAAAGACTGCGACTGTCTGTGGTGGTGACGACCTAAGGCGGACTTTGGCCACGCTGACCTCGGAATTCCAGGAAACCACGTTGACTAAACCAGCAAATCTCCGAAAAATCAAGATAATGCTGGGGCTTACACAACCAGTGAGGATGGGCGATCCAAGTATATAAGTATGTGTAAACATACATATACGTATACATATACATATATATATATATATATATACATACGCGTATGTTGTATGTATATATGTGCGTGTGTGTGTTTATTTGTACTGGATATTAGGAACAGTATTCTTGAACCTATGGACCACATTCCAAAATGCCCATCGTGTAAGTTATCGTGTGATGAATGGATACAAGCAGTGTGGAACACGGCCTTCGTTCCTATGTGGCGGATAATTACTGGAATATGTACTAAAAGTGACAACGTACTTCCTCTAAAACGTAAGGGTGAATTTAGCTGGTGGGCTTCCTATCTCCTACATGACAATGGTCATTTTAAAGCATAAAACCATCAGCACGCTTTCATGCATTCACGTGCCTACAAATCAATTCCCTTTTCAACTTATGGACCTTCAACACATCGCTATTTTTTAGTGCTAACACATTTTCGCGAAGTACTTTTGTCAAGTGACAAAAGATTCAGTCAAAGTCTGCGATGAAATGACCGTTTAGGTAAGGCGGTGCAGAATTGTCCCCAGCAAGTGGACTGTTTGTTCACTGTGCGCGTGTTCGACATGGTACGACTGATTGTGTCAGTTCCTGTGCTAAAACACTGTGGGGTACAATCGTCTAGCAATTCGCTAAGCGCCCTACTAGAAACTATTCGGAACTTCAGTTATTGTAGCATCAGGTAGAACGCACACGAAGAATTCGCCAATGTCTTAATGCTTTTTTCTTCCTTCAATATCTGGAAGGAAAATGGTGACGATCTCCGCTTACAGCGCACGTACACTAGCAACGCATGCAAACATAGGGGCATGGTAGAAGAACCTAAGATCGGATCATCGGACCGACTGAGATGACAGGTACATGTCCAAGAAAAACCCATCGTTTATGATAATGGGGAGAACTATCGAAGCTAAAGAAGTGGACAGAGCCGGTTCTTTTGCCAACAAGAGTGAGACCACGAACATCAATAGAAGCTTTAGAGCTCTCCTCGGCGTTTGTCAATCCCAGAGCGATGCCCCACGCATTCGATAGGCATCGTTTGGAGGTGATTGAATGCACTCTGACCTTTACAATGACTCACGGTGCCCCACCGATATATCGAGTCCGTCCTGCTATCTTCCCAAAGAAGTTTAATACTAATCTGCCGACACCGGAGGGATGGAAGGCTTGGCCAATCTGACGCCTGAGATCGATCCCACGTGTATTGTAGGGCGCCTCTAAGCACTACGTTACACGCGCCTTTGTGAACATCAATACTCCTGGAAAAACAACGAACCGAACAGAACGGTTGTCAAGAGAAAAATGTGATTGGAACTGGACATTGAGTGTATTCGTCTCCTAAGTCTTAGCCTCAAGCATGTTAAGAGCAGTGTATGAGTGATAGATTCTTATGGATTTGGAGAACTTCAGTATGAGGGGTCATATGTTCTACGGGTTTATCATTAGTGATTCAAATGTGAAAAAGTTAGAAGAAGTTTATCGAGCTCTACAGACAGAAGTGGAGTGAATAGGATGAGAGCGCGTCTGTGTTTGAGCTCATTATAACGACCAAGATTATCTGTGTCAATTCAAAATCCCAAGTATTCTGACCAGCACTTATAAGTCAATAGCACTGCTGAGAGAAAGGCAAAACGAAGGACCCGCATGGTATGGTGGTGAACGCGTTAACCCTGGAGAGGGTTACAACGCCTTCGTTCCCCACCGCAAACACAATCGTTCCGGAGTTTTGCAGATATCTCAGCATCATTATGATCATATTCCATAAGGCATTGTATTTCAGCTACATTAACCCTTTCAAAGCCTTCATTCTAATTGAGAAGGAGTAGATCATGGAAGGAATTGCTGCACGGTAGACAAAGGTTCTCTATGAACTATAAGGTAACTTTGCAGACAAAATTTCACAATCTACAACGACCTAGTTTCAGAGCGAAAAAGGTTGGAGCCAGCTCTTTGAGAAGCTTCAAAGAGTCAGTGGTGTAGAAGAAATAAGAAACTTTCATTTCAAACGCACAACTGAGAAACTACCGGGGATGCGACCGCGTTTTCTTATGGGTTACCTGTAGCAAAACCTGAGAAAACGAGAGGCTAAGGTATTGGGTCGAATATCTCGACCATCAACATGAGAAGGGATAGGAAAACTGATCCTTGTTGTAATGGATACGGCCACTAGACGCATGTTCGTTTTTGCCAAACCAAACATATTCGTTTAACATATTGCCGACACCTAACTTTCAGTGTTTGTATCATGTGACGGCTCATAAATATCTCGCAAAATGCGCGGTTGCATTGAAATTAAAGCGCTCTACCCTCTGTCTCGAACCAAAAAAGGACATTTTAGCACGTTCTTCATGCTGCTGCAAGGTAAATTCAGTAGCAACATTACATTGCAACCACCTCACCGGCAACAATTTATACTATGGCTGCCTTAACGAACAAGCTTGTCTAGAAAAATTCTTTTGTAAGTAATTCAATGAAGAATACAGCCTTTTTCGAACCAACCCTCTTACACCATCTATTAAGAAGCTATTGACGAAATAGAAAAACTATTGCAAGAAAACACTGTTCGGCAAGATGAGACTCACAAGAACGCGTTGACATAAACGCATGCTGTCCGCTGTGTCCAAACCGCCCACCATCGCGCGCACATTGTTACGAATTGATTAAGAATGCTACAATACCGATCTACCTAACTATTAGCTAGTGTTTTCAGTTATCTTCATTTACATGAGCAGCCATTGTCATTTTTTCTGCAAATTCAGATTCTATTTCCCACAAGGGGAAGACCTTGGCCAGGCTGATCCTGGGACACCAAGGAAGCACAATGGCTCAACCGGCAAGTCACCAAAAAAGAAAAAAGTTGGAGATTGTGCCGACGCCCGCACAACTGGTGAAGTTGGGCCGTCCAAGTATCCAAGTATTAGTTCCCAGGATCGGCTTTCTATTAACCTCGGCATTGGAATATGAATGCGTCGATTTCTTGTTCAGCAATCGCGAGGTTTTTAAACAGCATACATTTACTTCCATAGAAAAACACAGTACAATACAACGCTAGCTGATGTTTCGGCAGTATCGCCTTCTTCTGAGTCTGGAAGGGCATTATGGTGGGACGGCTCGATTATATAGGAATACCAAGTAGTTATGATTCGGTCGGAATTTGCTGCTCGCCTTTGTGTATGCCACGCGGGACTTCTTGTAAGTGGTAGTCACAATGCCGGAAACCTCAAACTTGGGTAATTAAACCGTTTATCATAATTATATAACAATTATGGCATAACAATACAACTGTACAATTAATACAACAATGATACAAGCAATGAATAGGCGCAGCCTGATTTCTTGTGTTCAGGTTGCTCAAGAGTGAAGAGGTTGTCATAAGACTTCGACCACATGAGATCGATGTGAGGAAAGGATATGGTGATTTGGGCAGCATTGCTGTGACCTGAGCTAGTCAGCCGTGGAGCCGTTTATATACCGTTTGGGTTGGGCGGAGTCAGGCTACAATAGGCGGAGTCGCGTTACAGTAGGTGGAGTGGGGTTACAGTAGGTGGAGTCAGGCTACAGTATGCGGAAGGACGGCTACCGGAAACATTTCACAAGCGTTGCAATCTGATAAGGCGATAGTCAAAGCATAGGACTGTAACTGCAGATGTTTTTCATGAGATAACCGCCGAAGAAATGTTAGTCATAAGGTCACCGGAAGCCGTATTCAAAAATGTTTGACATAAGGTTATCAGATCGTCATGGAGAAA